AGATCAATACGGTCACATGAAATTCTAATAACCCAATACACAGTAACAGCCCCTGAGTGACTTGGTCACCTACAGTGTTCATAAAATTGTTCAGTATCTACAACATACCAACTACACATCTGTCAGCGTGAACACAGGATGACAACTTCAGCATGGCACAAAGGAATAGCTACCAATATCCAAAAGAAGATTGTTTAAGGTAAATAGCCAGAAAACTTTCTTAACAGTAAGGTGTATTGGAGTGTGGTATATACACCTCTACCCCAATATAACGCATCTGATTAACATGAATTCGGATATAACGCAGTAAAGCATTTCCCCTCCTCCCCCTCCCAGGCTTGCGCAAGCCTGGGAGGGAAGAGGAGTGGCAGCGCGTTCAGGCGAGGAGGCAGAGCAAACGTGAGCTGGGGCAGAGCCGCAGCAAGTAACTGGGGAGTAGGGGCAGAGGAACCACTCCCCTCCCCAGCTCACCTCCACTCCACCTCCTCCCCCCAAGCGTGTCACCATTCTGCTTCTCCCCCCTCCCTCCCAGGCTTGCCACGCCAAACAGCTGATTCGTGGCAAGCCTTAGAGGGAGAGAGGGAGCGGGGAGAAGCGGATCAGTGGCAGCGCGCTCAGGGGAGGAGGTGGAGCAGAGGTGAGCTGGGGCAGGACAGGGAGCTGCCGATGGGTGCTTTGCACCCACCAATTTTTCTTCCTGGGTGCTCCAGCCCCAGAGTTGGCGCCTATGGCAGCAGTCTGTCTAGCTCTGACACGCTGCTCTGAGCAGCGTGTTAAGGGGGCCGGGCAGGAGGGTGGGTTGGGGGTTCTCAGGGGTCAGTCAAGGGCAGGAAATAGGTGGGAGTCAGATAGGGGGCGGGGCCAGGCTGTTTTGGGAGGCACGGCCTTCCCTACCCAGCCCTCCAGAGCAAGTTCGATAGAACGCAGTAAGATTTTTTTGTCTCCCGAGGAACGCATTACATCGGGGTAGAGGTGTAGTATCTTGTTCAAGGTACACGATGACAGTCCTATTCCTGCAAGCATTTCGAACTGGACAGGAAAAGTGCTAGGAGACATGAAAGAACAATCACACTTACAGGGAAGACTCAGGATTTTTTCCCACCATTCTCAGTGTGTGGACATACCACCATTTTTATAAAAAGACTTATAAACTACCTTCCCTCCCATTCATAATCTCATCCCTGGGGCAATTGTACTGATTGCTTATGTCGAATAGTAATATTAGGAAAGAAATATTAGTAACTAATACAATGTATTTTGCTCTTTTGGGAGCATACTGATTTTGCTTTTTTATTTTCTCTTCATTATTGCATTTTCTCCCACAGAAGGATGGCAGCTCCAAAACCAGGAGACAGATCTGTCTCCTCACAGTGGCCATTAAGACAGGCGGTTAGGTTTTGATAGGCCTCCAAGGTTCCCATTTCTATTAAAGAGCCTGGAAGCTATAAAAGCAGCCAGAAAGCCGTGTAACTAGCCAGCACTTCAGACCAGGGATTCTCAACCTTTTTCTTTCAGAGGCCCCCCCAAACAGGATATAAAAACTCCACGGCCCACCTGTGCCACAACTGGTTTTCTGCATATAAAAGCCAGGGCCAGTATTAGGGGTTAGCAAGCAGGGCAATTGCCTGGGGCCCCATACCACAGGGCCCCAGCAAAGCTAGGTTGCTCAGACTTTGGCTTCAGCCCCAGATAGCAGAGCTCAGGGCCCTGCGGCTCAGCCCCATGCAGTGGGGCTTTGGCTTTCTGCCCTGGGCCCCAGTGAGTATAACACTGGCCCTGCTTTTAGGACCCCCAGAAACCTTCTCATGGCCCCCCACAGTGCCCCAGACCCCTGGCTGAGAACCACTGCTTCAGACCACTAAAAAGTATTAACTTTTGGAACTGCTGGATTAAATCTAAGTTATCTGTCATCTCTACTTTCTATGAAGCAGGGGAAACCAAACCAAACCCCCAAATACTTCTCTCAGGTCTAGAGTTCCAACTGATTTGAACAGGATTATCTTGATGAGACCTTGTTATTACATTATTGACAAACTGTGACCATATAGATCATTGTTGCAACGAAGGTTGCACCAGGTCTTGTACAGAGGAGGCTAAGTAGGGTGTCTGTGGAAAGGGTGTAGTTTGCTGGTTATGCTGTCTATGTGTATCATTTTTATATTTGAAGTTATGAATATTGGCTATGTATTTGATTCTAAGTAGCCTCAGTGAAGCAGTTGGTCAGCTTCTTGAGAATGGGCACTTACTTAACGGACAATGGACTTTGGGCGACCCTAATCCACATCTGAGCTTTCCTGGGAACTTTCAAACTAACATGTAAACAATGGTGTCGGCCTGCAAAAAGCTGAATCATTCAGAAACATGTCTTGCTCAGGTGGCTACAGGCTCCATCTTGTTGCTGTGATTTTGCACAGGAGAACAAAGGGGTTTCCGCCCACAAGAGAAAGACCCTGGAAACCCCTCCATTTGGTCTTCAGCTGGCTCAAAAGGTAGCCTCTCCCCCCTAAAGAGATGCCTGAAAGAAACTGGAACAAAGGACAGTAACTATAGGGGTGTGAATGATCGCGTTTTTGTTTTATTCTTTGTTCTGTTATTACTTGGAACCACTTAAACCCTACGTTTTATATTTAATAAAATCACTTTTTGCCTATTAATTAACCCAGAACAAGTAATACATGCCTGGGGGAGCAAACAGCTGTGCATATCTCTGTATTATAGAGGGTGGACAATTTGTGAGTTTAACCTGTAAAAGCTTTATACAGAGTAAAACTGATTAATTTGGGGTTTGGATCCCATTGGGAACTGGGTGTCTGGGTACTAGAGACAGGAACACTTTCTAAGCTGTTTTCAATTAAGTCTGCAGCTTTTGGGGGACGTGGTTCAGAGCTGGGTCTGTTTGCAGCAAGCTTGCGTGTCCTGCTCAACAAGACAAGGTTCTGCTGTCCCAAGCTGGCAGGGAAAACTGGCTCAGAGGTAGTCTCACAGCACGTCAGGCGACAGTTCCAAGGGGGTCTCTGTGACCCAACCCATCATACTTGCAACTGGCCAAGTACTAATTTTACATCAAGAATATCTGCCACTTAATACCAAGGAAACCAAGTGGGTATAATAAAATTAGAGTTTTTAAGATATTGTCAAGAGGTCCTCACAAGAGGTGACGAGGGGAGCAAATAAGAAAGGGAGATCCTAGCCTGACTAAAGCCTTTAAGCAGAAAGTATTAAGAACTTGACTCAAAACAAAAAGCTTCTTTAGTTCTCTTTCCTTCTTACTACTGATCAATGAAAACTGGCATTTTCCACAGATAACATTAAAGAACAGGTTGTGTTGATAAGGCCGTAAGAATACTCAAATTGCACGAATTTGAGGAGCCGCTAATATCTGAAGACGACTGTGGGTTGAGGACAGAACAAGGAACAGAGTTTAATAAAATGTAAAGCTCAAGTTCTTAAATTTGGAAGGAGAAAATAAAACTACAGCTAAAAACAGGACAGACAAATTATTCTGATGAAACCTCAGTGTCTGGTCTGACAGAATAGGAACTGATGGCAAGAAATCAATGTACATGCCATACTCATGTCCATGAAGTGCTTGCAACCCTGACCTAGGCTAACAATGCTTCTGGCTCTGTGTAAGACACCCCCCCCCCCCCCAAATGGAGATGTATGAAAACAATTTTATAAAAAAGTAACATTTAGTTAAGTTACCAAGTATTACAAACATAGCTTTTCTTGAAAATTAAATATATTAGCAAAAGCAAGATTTGTAAGAATTATTTTACAAAATGATTTACATACAAGAAAGCCTAATGTGTCAGACATTCACAAATATGCAACCAACGGATAATTACAAAAGTACCAATTGGCAACATGAATTTTAACCTTGCCACTGCAGTTAGCTCTACTATTAATATGAATAAGGCATAGAGGCAGCAAACAATTTATAAACTTTTTTTAAAGTCACCCTTTAAGCTTGTTTAAAAAAAAATCTGAATGCACAATTCCTAGCATACTATATTAAAGCATCTTATTATAAGCTCTATAAACTACTTAAGTGCTCAGAAGGACCACCAGTCTGAAAAGCCCAATAAAATTGTAACTGGTACTAAACGCTTGTTTTCAATTTTCCCTTTGAACATGTACAGTTATAGGTACAAAAGCCATATTCACAGTTTAATTATCTTTGACAGAAGTACCATGTTCATTTTTTTTTTTTTGCAGTTGTTCCTTAAAACCAGCTCTAATTTAATCATAATTCATGGCACTTGTTCTGTGTTGCAAATATTTATAAGATAATTAAGAATCGGTGCCATAGTCAAGACAGTTCAGCAAGAGCAGTAATTTCCAACAGCAACATTCAATACTATATTTCAAATATTTGTGCAAATAGCAGCAGGGCAGTTGTATCTGAGGCAAGCTCTTATTTGCAAAAAATGCATCCTTAATGCTGTAAACTTGGACTGTCAGCCTTAAGTCTTGCATTTTCCACAGCTTTAAAAAGTCAGTGGCAATAAATTCAAGTCTTAGCATGACTGTCTCATACACAGTGCAAATAATGTAGAGTTTTTCCATGTTCTGTGGCTGGATTGATTTTTGCATGTGCAACTTTAGTGGTCTATCCTTCTAGTTGAAGACAGTGCCCATTTGAAGAACCAGATGGTTCAGGAAGTTGGCGAGGAGAGGAAGCAAATTCATCACACTTTTCAAACCAGCACTAGATGTGCAAAGGCAGCAAAAACTCCGGCTGTGATTACAACCAGAAAAGAGTAACTCTTCAGGAAGATCCAGGCGGTTAGTCACTTGGACTGGTCTCTAGAAAAATATGTGAGTATATGTTGGATTTTGATTAGACGTTCTTTCAAAGACATCATTGAGAGAACTGAGATCTGATACCTGGGATCTACAGGGAGGACAGCTAGAAGCCACCAACACCAAGCTGGTCCATTAGGTATTGCCTAAAATTAGAGAATGAATTGGATTACTGAATTAACAATTTAGCACAAGGTAAATTATATGCTGAATAATTTTTTAAAAAGACAAAAGCTAACTATGGAACAAAGTTTAGTCTAACATTAGTGGTCAAATAAAGTTATAATCCTCCTCTTCTGGTGCTTCAACCATGTTACTCTCCCCTCAAATCCCTTCTTTAGCTTCCTGTTTTATATCACATTTAATTCAAGACCCATACCCTCACCTTCAAGATTTACATAATCGTGGTCCCATGCACAACTGCTCTCATTCTTCCTACTCCCTCTTCTCAATTCTCTCTACTCTCTGCACCTTTACTTTGGAAGGGTCTCCATCTTCCTATCTGCCAACCACCTCCCTCCTCTCCGCAAAATACCTTACTTCCATGAAACTTTCCACCCTTGTTTTTCCACCAATAAGCTTACTACACTTCCTCTTTTAACAGAACAATTGTCCTGTGTCTCACTGTTAGTGCAAAGACCCCTTTTAAACTTATAGCACTACACTAAGCAATAACTAGTGTTCCGCATTTTCAGTTTTCATTTGTAAAAGAAATTCTGGTAATTTTTTTATGTTTATTTTCCAAACATTAAAACGGGGATGAAATTGGGAAAAAATCAGGAACAAAAAAGTTTGTAATATACACATTTTACTACAGTACAGCTGACTTTTTTTTTAAGTGTATAAAGTTATTTTTTGTCTGTCTCAGAGAGAGTAGTTTTTCCAGAAATCCTAGTTTATGTACAGTCACAATTTTCTCCAAAGTATCCTCCCTCACATTGAGCCTCTTGCTGTCTTGGAAGTAGTCCAACTTTGAAAATTAGCACTATCCATCATCAATAGACCAATAAATCCAGGGAATACACCCAAAGCTTGCCATACCCAAAGCTTGCCATACCACTCTGCTGAAGTTGGAAAGCGTGTCTTGATTGTTCCAAAAATCCAACACATCCACCAGTTTCATGTTGTCAGGGTTATGCATGTTCATGTAAGCATTTCAGATTTGAAATATCTTTAGTGGCAAATGGAAGAAACACTCTGGCATAACGGATGTAGTCTGTGCAAAGTTCACCTTGAGAAAAGTGGGTGACATTCCAAAAAGAATCTTTGGCACAAAAAGCTCTTCAGGGTCCAGATTACGGGCCACGATCAACTCCCATTTTTTGCTGAGTGTTGTGTTGAAGGTTTTGAACACTTTTTTGTTCTTGTGTTCCAAGGTTGGAAGGATTTCCAGAAACAGCTGGGTTCTCTTACTGTATGTTTCTCCTGCAGCTTTTGTGCTCAATTCAGCTGGATTTTGGTTGTCAAGATCCGGTATCAGCTGTATTGGCTAATATGTTGGCAGTACTCAGAGAAAACTCCAGTGTTTTTTGTGTGTCACACCGACTCCCAGTTTTCAACAATGAACACTACCTTTGTATGCAGAATCTGCCGGTCATTTTGGTTATTTGCCAGTCTCTTCAGAGTTTCTGCTTTAGAACCAATAATCTCAAGATTATCTAGGTCTTCTAGGAGATGTATTAGCACGGTCCATGCGTTATTTACATGACAGGCAGCGAAGTACAAGTTCATCCACTGATGTGGCACAACAGGGGTACGGAATTGACAGTTGGCTCTGCACTCATCTCCCCCTCTGTAAAACAAAGCCTTCAACTTGTCTGCATGCTTGAAAACGTTCCTGAATCCAATAATGCAAGATTTCACGTCTTTCATTTCTTCTGTAACAGTAGCTGCTGACAGTGCAATGTTAATCAGGTGAGCATGACAGGTAATATGTAGCAGCTCTGGTTTCTGATAGAGTTTAATCTCTCGTGCAGATTTACCCACATAAGAAGCATAATCCGTGGTAGTTGTAGCCACATTTTCCCAAGTTAGTTGGTACATCTCAAACATGACATGTCTTCTTCCATATAGCTTGGCTAGGCAGCAATGACTGCAAATTATATCTAGATTTGATAGCGAGCACATTCCTGCAGCAGTGAGTGAATTGGTGAATGCCCTTCATGCTCCTCCTTTCATGCTCCTGGCAAAAGAATAAAGGACACACCAAGATATATGATGTGCTCCATCGTCTGTGCCTGGTTACCACAGTTGCATACAGGTGTTTGCCTCGTTTTCCATTTAAAGAGGGTTTGTTGATATGATTTAATCTGCACCAGTCTTTCTAACTGGAATCAAACCCCAGAGGTTCCTCAGCAGGGTCAACAACAAGCTGTTTATTCTGAGCAGTCAAAATGCTCCACGTGGCTCTCCATTGAGCCTCTGTGTTTAAATTGAGCTTAAGGGTCGAGGCAGTTCCACAGAGAGTTGCGGGATTTTAATTGTGTCTTTGGAGGGTTCTGCAAGTCATCATGCAATGGGATCTTCAGGTTTTCACTGACATGATTGAGAAAGTGAGATGTCTGGACAGCTCTTCTAATCTGTGGAGGCTGGATGTGCGATAGGACCAGAAGCCAGTCAACTGGAGTCAATTTGAGCGTCCCTGACAAGCGTCCAACTATGCACATGGCGTTTTTGAGTTGAGTATCAAGGACTTTAGTATGACTGCTGTGAGACCAAACTGATGCACAATATTCAGGCACAGAATATACCAAAGGCAATTGTTGCAGTTTGTAAGGTCCATGCACTGGAGCCCCATGATATTACGGCCAATTTCCTGATAACCACAACACAATATCTGACCTTCTTCTTGAGGTATTTCTGAAAGGCTGAACTCCAGTCCAGCGTAATGCCAAGATACTTTGGATTAGCCTCATGGCTAATGCTCTCTGCAGAACTGTACATCGGGTTTAGCATTAGCCAGTTTATTCTTCAGAAGGAAAGCGATCACCATGGCTTTTTTCGGGTTAGGCCTAAATTTCCAGCGTTGGAAATAATCAGCAAATATGCTAAGATCTCGGGTTAGGGAGCATCTGATGGTATGGAGGCTTATGCACTGAACAGCCAAGGCAATGTCATTCGCATACATGAATTGCCTCGACTCTATTGCAGGTTATCCGTGGTGTATAGATTAAAAAGTATTGGGGCCAGGACAGAGCCCTGAGGTATGCCAGAATTAAGAATTTTTAACATGTCAGTTATTGCTGCATTGACAAAACAGGTGTCAGAGGGGATGACTGTCACATCAAACACAAAACAAAGTGGGTTTACTTGCTTTGAAATTGAACTAAAACAAAAAGGCCAAGAATTGGACGGTCCAGAGCATCAGACTCATCAAAAATCAGACTAGATACCACATTTCCATCAATTTGTTAGATACTAAAGCATCACCATTTTCTTTCAGATACTTACGAGGCAGGTTGTCTGCACTAGGAAGTGTTTTTGCTGGTGGACAGTACGGTCGCACAAAGTCACCAACAGGGCCCTCTGCAATTAGCAGCAGTTGTCTGACTAAACAAAGAGCACGCACAAAGTAACTGACACAATCACGCTGTGTCCTCTCTTTCATTATAGCCCTAGTGAAAGCTCCTGATATGGACTGTTTATTCCAAAACCCACTTTCTTCTTCAAGCTTCTTGTATCGCTTGCTTTCAACGTGCTCCTTTATTCTCTCAGCACGAGCAGTGACATCACTGCTGCAATACCTGCAGCGCGATGCATCCTCTTCATTCCAGTCTTTACTTTTCTTGAAAACTTTTAAGCACTGATTTCTTATTGGTATTCAGACAGTTTTCCCTTTTCACCCCATGTTTACTTTCTCTTTATCTGTGGAGGATTGACTGGCTAAATTCAGCGTCGCACTAAACCGACAGAAAGAAATAGGAGGCAGCATTTCCTTGTGAGCCAGTCATAGCGCAATATTAACTTGATTTTCCGACCTCTACCATGTGTGTTGTGTATGTTTTACACTGTGGAATTGCTTCAAATCTCTGAGCTGCAGGACACAACAATCGCACAAAGCATTAGAATTTAACAAAAATAAGTACCCCCAAAAAATAATTAATGAATAAGTGGGTGTAAAATCAGTAGAAAACCAAAACTCCTTTAATATTTAAAACAAAACAAAAAAACACCACCACCACACAATTTATCGGTGAAAAATCAGAAAAAACTGAAAACACGGAACACACAATAAGCAAGAACACTGGAGTTCCCAAAGGATTAAAATCTGATATAATCACTAACTAACTAACTGCAATATTATCAGAGTATTTATATAGCACTTCACATGCTAAGTATTATTTACTTCTAGCTGAAAGTTATTGTATATCAAGTAGTCAAAATTAGTCTTGCAGAGCTTTGGCTGAAAAGCATGAGTACTAATATAAATATAGCCATCAGTCTTTGAAGAATATCTGCAGATTGGGTGTCCTTGTCTTCAGAATAAACTACCACCAATATAAAAGTAACATAGGAGAAACTTGAAACGAAAAGAAACAATTTAACATCCTTAGCTAAACGAAGCTCTTCTTTAAATGGACAGTTTTCAGCTACGCTCAGGCCTGACTTCTGTCTGCAGTTCAATTTGTGCTTGCAAAAGATAAGCCTGTACTTCCTGCACCTACAAGGTTTGTACCCACAATTAGGTAATTATGTAACTACTAAGGGCTTTGGAGATCCACACTGCTGCTATCAATGCAGTGGGTGTCGATTTAGCGGGTATAGTGAGGGCCCATAAATCAACAGCAGAGTACTCTCTAGTCGACTCCGGTACTCCAGCTCCCCCAGAAGAGTAAGTTAAGTTGACCAGAGAGCGTCTCCTGTTGACACAGCGCAGTGAAGACACAGGGGTAAGTCTACCTAAGCTACGTCGACTCCAGCTACGTTATTCATGCAGCTGGCGTAGCGTAACTTAGGTTGATTTACCCCGGTAGTGAAGACAGGCCCTAAGACTGCTACTATCCAGTGTGCCCACAAGGATGAGACTGGAACACTTGATATTTAGGGGCAAAATTAAAAGTTCACCAATGAACTGGGTTAGGTACAATATAAGACAAATCTATTTGACCAATAGTGTTAAGAAGCTATTTAAAATAAAGATGATCATGTTTGTTTTTTGCTAACTTTGTAGATAAAAAAATCTACAAAGAAGCACTACCCTGCCCTGCCTAGAATGTCAATGAGGGATTCATGCAAAGCAACTGCAGCACAAAAAGAGGGGCAGAATGACCTCCTGTTGCTGCTTATAGAATGGATATAACTAGTGGAAATGGAAGATGGTACTGCATCATCCACACAGCAGATCCCTGTAAAAACTGCTATGTTTAAAAGTGCAGGTTTTTTAAAAAAGTAATAAATGAATAACTGATGCCAAAATCTTCACTCACCTGTAGGTTTTCCTCTCTCTCTGGCATTGGCCCAAAGTGCTGAAGGATCTGGCTGCGAAATTTGTTCCTCAAGCTTTGGAACCAGCCACAAGCCTGATTGTATACTATGTCATGAAGCTCTCTCAGTTTCTTCAGCTCTTCTTCATCTGCAACCTATGACAGAACACTAGAGTAAGCTTAAATACACAACAAAGAATGAGATAATCAGTTTAACATACATTCCATTTCAACTGTTAGTAACAATCATTAAGCCTCGGCATTCATCCTAGCCTTGAGGGGCAATGGCAGAAAGGAGAAGAAAAAACCTTGTCGTACCGAAATCCCTCACTTCAGACCAAATACCTCTCATAAAATAGCAACATGACAAGAATTATATAAGACACAATTGTATTTAAGTAGGTCATATTTAGAGTCCTGCTTTAAAATCATTCTGCATATTTAATATACATTTGATGGGCCCACCTTTTTTATTATATTCTTTACTACAGTCACAACATTTAGATCAAGTTCTAATTCCGATGCAGCTAAACTCTAGAAATCAGTACTTTGGCATGTTTTATAGTTATGGTGGATAGCCAATACATATTTTTTTCTAATTTAAATAAGGTGTGGTGGGTTTTTTGGACACCTATTAGCTATGTACCAGTTCAAAAGTATTCTTTACTTCATAAAAGTTGATAGTATTGATTTGGCAAAAAAAGTGCAATTCTAAGATAAATCTGACATCTCAAAAGGTCTAGAAAATCTTAGCTATTTTTATTTTTCTTTAATATAGGAGAACCATGTCTCCCAGTAACTGCTGTATAATCCCAAACATTTGAAGCCGAGTCTTTATGAACAAATGGTATAGCAAACTAAGAGTGCTGGTTAAGAGGAGTGTTACTGCTCAGAAAGAGTTCTAGATACCTTAATATCTTCCAAATATTCGATGTCTGCAGTACAATAGCCATCTTTCATCCCTCTTTGTAAAACTCTAAATCTCTTTCCACCAACTGTGTCAACAACAGACCTCCCATCAGGTAGGAAATGAATATTCCTAATTTGCAGCATACAACCATAATCTGCAAAACTAGAACCAGAAGCATTGTCAGCAATGCTAAATTCACCATTTTCAAACATTTTTGAAATCCAAATGGGGGGAGAGGGTAGAACCATGGTGAACTCTTAGCTCATAAGAGCACAAGAATGGATGCTTACTTGTTTTGAGGGTCACTGACACACATCCCAAATTGTTTAGTCCCGGTTTCCATACTTCTGCGAATCATCAGTCGGTATCTTGGCTCAAACACATGAAGAGGGCAAGGCACAGTGGGGTATGCCATAGTGCAAACAAATACTGGAACATTCTTGGTCAAGCTAAAGACAAAACCAAAATAGATTAAATACACATTTGAAATCTAACCACAAGACTGTGCCAAGCCATAATAAACAACAGCAAAAGTGTTGCAATACATTTATTTTGCCAAAGGTGATCTAAAAAAAAATTATATATATATATATAAAGTAGTAGTGCTGGGTGTCTGTTGATTTTCATTATACCTGAATTCATAAAATGTCCCTGGCAGGGTGAACGTTTATTGTTCTTTAAACATTTAAGTGTATTGTGGACAGTAGTTTATTCTGATCAAATATTTATAGCCAGAAAAAAAATTCAGTAGTTTGTAGCATATAAACTACCATTGAAAGAACACTTATTCTGTGAGACGCACCAGTCTGTGAAAGTTTTACCAAAGTTAGAGGATAGTTTCTATAGTTGCAGTTACTGTAAGCCATCAGTGCAATACAAGGTAAAATTTGCTGCACAACTACATGGCTCAAGTAGTAGCAGCTAACTGAGGGAATGAAATGGATTTGGTCAAATATTTTTTCCAACCTGTTTTTTTTTTTAAAATCAATGTTATTTTTGCTAGAAGCAGACACAAACAGTTAGCATTAAAAGTTACCCTATATCTTGCACTACACCTCTGCCTTTCAGAGTACACAAATGGTCATTTGAATGTTAGTGTTTTGCTCTGCACTGTAAGTTGCCTAAGTGGTAGTTTCTCACCAGTATTTTCTGACAGACAGATGGCTCTAAATATTAAAAGGAACAACTTGAAAGTCACTTTATTTGAATGTTTTGTACTTAAAGATAACCCCTAAGATTACAACTGAAAGATTAGAGAAAGTACTCATTTTTGAACTTTGTTTATTTTGTGCAGTTTTATCGATCACGCAACTCTGAGGGAAACTCGGAAGTATGCTTTTCCCCAGGCTTTGCATGAGGATATTTACCTATAACAGTAGCAAAGCTGAAACTGAATAGACAGCAATGTAGGCACAGAGAAGGAAGAGAGATGGGCCTGATCATGTTAGGTGGTGCTAATCATGAGCTCACCTAAGAGACCCTTATAAAAATGTTTTATTTTTAATTTCATGCCATACTAACTAAAATAGGACATTCATTAATTTTCTGAAGTTAGTAAATTTAAATACTAAGTTAACAGATTTTCCAATATTTAATGTTCCTTCACAAAACTATGAAATGCCATCATTAGAATCATTAACAAATGATACAAACATTTCTACCCTGACAGTAACTGGATTTCTTCAAGCTGTGTCCCCCTATGGGTGGCTCCACTTGAGGTGCTCACACTCCTTCAATCAGAGATTTTCAGCAGCAGCACTAATTCAGTCCACATGTTCCCTAGCTATTCTCAAGCCCTGTACAGAGCACATATAGAGTTGTGGATAGACCTTGGTTCCTTCTCCACTGCAAAGCCTAAGGAGACGAGGCTCTGAAGCAAAGTGGAAGGAGGGAGGGTAGTGGAGCAACCATAGGGACACACATCTTGAAAAAGGTCTAAACAAGGTAAGTAACCTTTCTTTCTTATCTGAGAAGCTTCCCCACTATGGTGTTCAATTTGAGGTGGCTCCTGAGCAGTATCCTTTGAGTTCCAAAGTTCCCATCTCCTGCAATCTAAGACTGATAGTAAAATTGCAGAGCCTGTGACAGTATCTATTCAAGAAGCACCAAGTATGGTAGAGTGTTCTGAGACAGAATGAACCAAAGCCCACAAAGCAATCTTGCAAATCTCCGTCCATTAGCAGAACAACAGATGTAGACTTATATCTGGCAGGTAGGTATAGTATATTACAAGCTGTATAGCAAGAGAGGATCCAGTCAGAAACCAATTTAGAAAGTCTTTGCATGGACACTAGCACTCCTTTAGCTGTGTCCACAATAGAAACAAATAGTCTCAGAGGCTCAAAAAAGTCTAATCCTGCCCAAATAATAGGTCAGTAGCCTCTTAACATCCAAGTTATAAGGGGCAACTTCTTGACTAGACAGATGGAGTTTAGGATAGGAAACTGGGAGGTGAACTGTCTAGTTTATGTGAAAGTCTGAGCTAACTCTGGGCAAGAAACATGGGTGTGGTCAAAGGGATGTCTTTTCTTTTAAAAGGAGAACATATGGAGGGTCAGCCATCAAAGCTCTTGGCTTGCCAACTCTTTGGGCCTAAAAAGGCTGTTTTAATGGAGAGATTTAGAAACAAGCAGGTAGCTAGCAGTTCAAAGGGAGGCTCCATCAGAAAGTTAAGAACAAAGTTTACGTCCCAGGTGGGAATGGGGTATCTGACATTTGGGAAAGATTAGATAATCCTTTGATGTAGCAAAATTGCAAGGTGAGCAAATACCGCGAAGCCCTCCACCAGAGAATGAAGTGCTGTGATGGCTACTACAAGAGCTTTAATTGAACCCAAAGTAAGATTTCCTTTCTTCAGAGCAAGAAGATATTCCTGAATCTCAGATAGTGGAGTCAGCAAGAGATTGGTACACCAGTCAGTACACCAGTGGTAAAATCTTTTCTATTTCTGAAGGCAAGTCTTTCTGGTAGAATCTTTCCTACTATTCAGCAGGACTTCATATCCTTCTCCTTAGGAGTGCGCTAACCCTGAGAGCCATCTAGATACCAAGCCTTGACCCACAGTGTTCAGTTTGGGGTGAAGAACATTCCTCAAGTCCTGAGTGAGAAGACTGGACATTGATGGAAGGCTGATGGAGGAGAGGCAAAGGTAGTAAGGAAACTACACTAGATTTGGCCAGGTTGGTGCAATGACAACGACCATGGCCTTGTCCTGTCTCTGTCTTGGGCAGAATTGTTCTAGAAGGAACTGAGGGCGGTCCATCTGTTGCAGCCCTATATATCCTCAGTACAGGGCATGAGAATAACTGGGGCACATATGCAGACTGAATGAACACTGCTGCCAAAAATCTCTGATCAAAGGTACATGCACATCTCAAGTGGAACACCCATAGACACTATTTCACAATGCTACTGTGCAAAAATACAGTAATCTTGCTTTCAAATTTCCTTGGATAAAAAAAATACACATGGTAGGCTTACTCCGAGAGTTCAGCAGTTTCTTCATCATGAATTCTTTTTCTCTCAGATAATTCATCTGCCAGATATTTCACCACTAATTCTTCCAGTAGTACTGTGACACTGTATTTCCTAATTGCCAAATACTAAAATAAAATAAATTATATATTTACCATAAACCATTTCTTATACAACATTAACACAAAATTCAGAGCTACTTTTAATTAAAAAGTACTATAAACAGATATGGGACTATAAAATCTGTCCTAACAAAACAGTATTAAAGAGACAGTAAACTTAAGACATTCCCGCAGTCTTAGTTGTAACCTCTAAAATCATTGTAACGGAAAGAGAATGAATTCTCTACTTTTTTCAGTTTATTTGGTGCATTTGACAAGACGTGTGTCTAATCAGTGTCAATATTTCCTCTGCCTAGTCAGTTTCCCCAGCCACAAGAGAGGAAAAAATACAAAGAAAAATGTGATAGAAAAATTACATGAGTAGGCAGGAGAACTCTGATTGACGAGGTATCGAAGTCGGTAATGTTTTAATTCTGTAGCATGAGTCAATCATGTGTTCATGTTTCAGTGGCCACATAAAGTACCATCAATACGTAATTGATTGGGTTTTTGGATTCTGGACGCATCCAAGCTTTCAGTGGACTCAAGTCATCTGGGTTTTGTGTGATGGTGTATGAAGTTCCTTCTACTACAGTTATAGGTCTTCTGAATATTTACCTCTTTTAAGCTCTCTTTACATAGGGGACACTGCGGGGCATGGTCTAAACAGCGTTCTAAACAATTCTTGCAGAAGGTATGTCCACAAGGGGTTGTCACTGGCTCAAAAAATAACCTGAAATTTTTTTTAAAACAAGTCAGTCAACAATTGATACAGTGATTCTAACATATTTTAAATAAATGTTAAAGAAGTCTAGCTATACTATAAGAAAATAGACAAGTTAAATGAAAATTAGAAATACAAGATTTGTGCTAGAACTTTTTTTGAATGTGTATTTTCCATTTTCTCAACACTGCACAACCTAATGTATTCTGCGCTTCATAGTTAATTTGATCACATTTCTAGGTTCAAATATTTAATGTCTAAAAGTATATTAATATAAATAAGTTACACAAACACAGACAGTGCTTCCTTAAAGCATTAACTTAATGTGATATGACAATGGTCATGATAAACCGTATACTTTAACCAACATCATCTGCACACATAATAACTACTTCTGATTTTTAATACTTTAGAACATATGGTGTATATTTATACGACATACCAGAAAGATTTGCAGTTCTTAAGAAGCCTATCAAATAATCTACTAAAAGAGGAGGTGAGATTTTCAAAGAAAATACATGTGTAAATCCTCTATACTGCTTTGAGAATCTCAACCAATACCTTAACCCAAAGGCTAAATTTAGGTGCAAGTGTTAAATAGTATGTGTCAGTTTATCCACCAAAACAAAATGACTTCTAGATAAAAAAAGTGTAGTCTAGTTTTAAGACATTTTCTCTTTCTTGTGTTGTTGACATTTAAGAATAGAATACCATTTTTAACTCAATTATCAGTTTGTGTCACACCTATAAAATTAAATACAAATATTCTGTCCTTACCAATACTCATCTACCAAGGGTACGTCGACACAGCAATGACAGCCATGGGTTAATGGGACTCGAATCAGCTGACTGGTGTCTACATTGCATTTTAACCCTAATTTAAGGATTTTCTGACCCACGGTCGAACCTAGGGCTCTGGGATTCACACTGCAGTGCACAGACAAATCAGAGTAACCCTATCCCAGAGGGTCTAGCCTCCTTTGGTGGCTGTCTCAGTAGAAATGACTGCAGTTTGGGAAAAATTTATACTGAACTACCATCTAATCTGAAAATTGGGCTCTCCACCTATAGGCTGTGTCACATTGGTAGGAAAATGCCCATGTGCACATGTTCTGAAGATAATTAGGACATCAGTCTCCAGGACTGTCAAAGTATTAAAAATGAAATTTTGCAATTCTTAATTTTTAAAATGGAATGCTCAATGAAGGTGTTTTTATTCAGTTTTTTATTTTTCTGTTTTGAAGTTTGATATAAAATGTAGGTATCAGAGGAAAAAAACACCCACAGACACACCCACCCCAGCCCAGCTGCTGCCAGTGAAGCGAATCCCTAGGGCTTGATGTGTAGTGTGCTCCAGCACACCCCAGGGATCTGTTATCCCTGCACCCACCACACCCCGGGCAGGAGGGGGCTCCCACTCAATACCCTCATAGTGCATGTTGCCCTGACCCCTCTACACACACAACCCCAAGGAGGGCAGGAGAGCCAGGAGCAAGGAACAGAGAGCCAAGTAGGACCAAGTGTTTACATATATGCTGCTACACATATGTAGCTCCTGGCTTAGCACAGCCAGGGGAGGGATGATCCATGGGAGGGATGACTCCCACCGATCAGCTGTGCTCCCTGCCCTGGGCAAGCTCTTCACAACAGCGAGGAGGAGCTGAAGCCACTGCCGCAGGAGGCATCATAGAGGTTTTGGGGCTGGCTCCCACCTCACCGTCCTGACAGCACACACTGCCTGAACACTCCTGCACATGAAGCTCCAGAAAGGGGAGGTTTGGAGGCGAGGAAGAGGGCAGAGAGCAGGGCAGGGATCTAGCGACTACACTGCAGGGAGGGGGAGCACCTGGGCTGTTGGGGAGTTGGGTCAGGGGGGGGGGGCGGGGGATCATCCTTCCCTAGCCATGTTGAGCCAGGAGCTCTGCAGCTCCCTTTCCCTGCAGGGCAGCTGCTTAGACCCTGCTCTGGTCTCTGGCCCTTGCTCCTGGGCCCCTCTGGGGCTGTGTGTGCAAGGGAAGGCAGTGTATACCAAAATCTGGCTCTGCTATTGTGACCAGGAAGCAGCTCTTTTTGCAAAAAGCTTCTTCTGACCACTCTCCATAAAAAACCGTATAGGCTCTCTGACAATGTGCTTGCAAACTAGTGTTCTGCAGACAATGGGTTAACACTGACCTGAGCTGCTGCCCTCTGTGAAGGGAGGTGTGGCAACAGAGTGCAACAGATTGTCCTCTCTATGCTGACAGTCTGTGGTGCAAAGGAAGTTTTCCCCAAGGAACTCTTGGGAGCATCTGGAAGACTTCTGGGATTGAGTCAAGCCAGGGACACGTGCACACAAGAAAGCAACAGGGCTCAGATCCTAGGTCCCAGCTTAACATGGGCTCAGACTCTTTAGCAATGCAGAGTCCTGGGACCCTAGGTTCGACCTCTAGTTTAGTACAATTGGTGTGTGGATGCAAAGAGGGTTAGATTTGAGCCTAGGCTTGCACTGCTGTGTAGACATAGCCACTAGTCTGCAACTCTAATATGGGTAACAGCAAAGGCCCAAGAAGTCTAGGTACTCCTTATGTCTATGCTGCAACCTAAGCCCAGGATTCGAACTCAGGCTCAAGTCTAATCCCCCTCCTATTATCTACATGAACATCACACTAACCCAGGGCTCAGACCAAGGGTCCCAGGACCCCACAGAGGTGGAGGATCCAAGACAGAGTCAAACTGGGACCCAGGGTTCAAGCCCTATTGCTCTGCAATATAGACACAGCTCCACTGGATTTGTCCTCCGGAAATCCACCAGAAGTATTCCACAATCCCACGGACCAACTTTCTTTGTCCTCTGGAGAATCCAGTTTGATGGAAGTCGTCATCTAGCATGACCTCATGCCCATTGTAGGCCACTGAACCTCACCCACCCACCATTCTCAAATAAAACAGACAATAAGGCAAGTCATAACCTCTTTACCTCAGTTTACACATAAAAGGTATCTGCCCACATCTATAATGCAGATATCATATGGAAGATACTATACAAATAGTAAATATTACCTCATACACAGAGAGCACTCAAAATCTGCCACATCGATTAAGTGCTGTGGAACTGTTCCACAAACCAGTGAAAATGCAGTATCCCTTTTTGTAGTTTCTAAGAGAAACAAGAGAAGATACTGTTTGAAGACAAAACAAATCAAAATAAGTATGTTTAATCTTGACATTAAGTGGCTATTTACCTCCTTGTTTTTTATGTTTGCTTCTTCCATCTTCACACATGATTGCATCCTGTTCTGAAAGGGAAAGCTTCCTTTTTAAGAGAGCACTTTTTTCCTGGCCAGAAAGCAAAGGTTCAGAAGAAACCCTTTTTAATCCATCTCCTTTAGCAAGCTTTTCTGTGGAGTTAAGAGCATGGGCAGATTGTACACGATTTAGGCTTCGTCTGAAAGACTCCACTGTTATCTCGGACACGTCTAAATTCTACAGAAATAAAATGAACAAAGTTAATAGTACTTATTCTCATTTTCAAATTGAGGCTAATCATTTATGACAGCTGAACATGAATAAGTTGAAGCCAAATTCAGATAAACTTCTCCACTGCACAGCCAGACTCAATGATTAACTTATGGAATTTGGCAGGTCAAGAAAGCACCTGCTGAAATAAAAAAAAGGGATTAAAAACCTCAGTTTCCTTCAAAGGGGAAAATAATTTGGGAAAAGAAATTTAGAATTATTGTTATCTGGAAAATAAATCTATAACAATACCCTTTTTATTTTGGAGCTATTAGCGTTAAACCTTAAATAATGAAAAAGTTCACTAGATTGTGTCTTATGAACTGTCAAAAAATTAAGATACTTTCTAGCTGATTCATGAAATCCAACAGAAAAGTCTACAACTAGCAGAAAGAAAGGTGTAGCAGCATATTATGTCTGGAGCTTAATATGAAGCTTAATAAAAGTTTGATAAATAGCTTAAGTTCTGATGCCCTGAGTTTGTCTATTAACTAAGGGACAAAAATATATATAATACTACATGGTTTTCCTTACTTACCTGCTCTGGACAAAGCTGTAGATTACAGCCAGACTCCTCCATTTCAGAACCAAGTGTAAAAGGCTTATTTCGAATATGAGGTGAAGTCCAAGCAGATTCCTTCAGACTCTCTCTCACATTTTCTGGTGACAGCAAATCATACAATGTCTATAAGATAAACATCTTAACATTAAGATTAGGGGGAAAAAAGATTCAGCTATAACTTTAGTTAATATAACTACATAACCACCATGAAGAAGCTTACTTTATATCAAAATTTCTTGTTTTAAATATACCCTTCATCTTATTCTCTACCTTATAATCAGCTGTAGCACAAGTTCAGTTCAGTAGTTCTTCTCCTAATTAAAGGTTTATATCCTTATCTTTATACACAAGTTAAGCTCTTAAATTCCCCCCCTTACAGGAAGTGATGATAATCTTCTCCCAACTCTTATTTAGGTGAGGTGTAACTAAACAAGATGCAGTTCTGTAAAAATGTTAATCTGTATTGTGCAAACTTGATAGTGCAGATATTTGTTTCCATAGAATGAAAAGATTCAAGTGTTTGATTTCTTACTCAAATTTGTTTGACATCTACTGGAAAGTGTGAAAATCTGATGCCTGTTTTACTTGAAAACTGTACCAACTATAATTGTAACTGGGTTAAGTATATATACTCTCCCCTAACCCAACTTAAAAAAAATAAATAAAAAAAGATTTTTCTGGAATACATGGGCACAAGAACTCTTATCGCATCCAAGTATATTAGGACCCTCTACTCTACACAGAAAATTAGATATGTGAAAATAAAGTCATCCAAATTTTTAGCTGAACGTCTTCTTACAAATACAGACATGATGAGCATAAATACATTGAAGACTGAGATTCTACGGTAAAGTGGGCCACCTAAGAGAAAGAGCAGCAAAGTTTATAAATACCACGTTACCTTTTCCACTTCTAGCTTTGCTGGAACAAAATCCTCATCAAGGGATAAGCACTGTAGGAACAGTTGTAAGGCATCACCTACAAACCCAGCATCATGCAGCACCTTTGCTTTCCTGAAGTAAATCTAAAGATATAGAAGTAACATTTGATATTTTCATACTTTCATTAAAGAGACTATATATTAATATTCGGACACACTATGGCATTGCATGTCTTTTCCATCTCACATGGAGGTGAGAATTAGAGATGTTGTGATAGGGAAGAAAATATGCCTCTTCTGCAGATCTTAGAAGGTCCACAGAAAGGAGGAACATACCACGTTCTCTAGTCTCTGTCCTCCACACAGCTACAGTAGAACCCCAGAGTTACGACTCGGGAATAGAGATTGTTTGTAACTCTGAAATGTTCATAACTCTGAACAAAACGTTATGGTGGTTCTTTCAAAAGTTTACAACTTAACATCGATTTAACACACCTTTTAAACTTTACTATGCAGAAGAAAAATGCTGCTTTCAACCATCTTAATTTAAATGAAACAAGCAGAGTTCCCTTATCCTGTGAATTTTTTTTTTTTTTTTTGCTTTGAGCAGGGGATTGGACTAGATGATCTCCAGAGGTCCCCTCCACCCCTGATAGTCTATGATTCTAAGCTTTGTTCACAAGAAGCTGAGTTTCTCTCCAGATATATGGAGAAGTGAATGTACATTCTGAACCAGTTTTGCCGCAAGGAGAACTTAGTATTTCTGTAAATTAAGTTTTATGATGGGGATAAGAGCTTGGGGGAAATGTAGTTTTATTTATTTAACAATGAAAATAAGTCTCTCTTTACTTCAAAATTAGGAATGAAGAGACATGTGTTCTAAGAATGATATAAAAATCTGAAGTTTTTAGTCCTGGCTGACAACAGTATGCATCTCCCCTTACAGGACTACTCCAAGTATTATTTAATGTTTAAATGCTTTAATGAGAAAAAATGTTATGCAAGTGCTTATACTTTCACATTAAGTGCAGAACTCTAAAGTGAGACATTTGCAGATATAATTCAATTTTCATTCAAATCTCCACACTAAGTTACCTACTGCATATACAGACAGCACATTTTCCCAGAAAGATCCTGCCTTTAAGTGATTACAGCTACCTGCACCACATCCGGAGTCATCCACAATTCCCAAGCAATGAATTTAAGCTGAGTTAAATTTGTAAATATTTACATTTTCAAGTGTTTTCCCTTAAGTGAACAATAATCTCTTAAAAAAAAGAAAAAGGGAAAGCCTGGAAATTCTTAACTAAGGTAACATTTAAAATTAGATAGCATGAAAATACATATTGGAGAATCAAAAATCTTTCACCCTACGTAATTATCACACCTCGCATGTGAGCTGAAGGCCTTGCTGGTCTTTCATGAAGTTTTTGATAACTTTAAGACAAGAAATATCTTAATTTTTTTAATTCACAAGACAAATTCAATTGCACCAATAGCTGTTGAACATTTTCCCCCTACAGGAACTGAAAGACATACTGAAGAAACACCAACATAAAAAAAAATATACTTCCATCTGAAAAAAACAAGAACAAAAAATGCTGCTTTTGTTACAGCCACCAAAGAATACAGAAAAGCACTTTGTTTTTAGTTTGTTTACGTTGTGCATTTGATTCCATTTTGTGTAGTCAATTTCATTATTTCTTTTGTATAGTCATTTTTCCTCTTTTTGCAAGTCTTTTATATAGCAGGAGAGAGAAAAAACATTTAAAAAACAGGATACTGTGCCTATAAGGCCACAGAAACTGCCAGGGGGCCTCAGGGGCAAGGGTAACACTAGATACTACAAGTTTCAGAGTAACAGCCGTGTTAGTCTGTATTCGCAAAAAGAAAAGGAATATTTGTGGCACCTTAGAGACTAACCAATTTATTTGAGCATAAGCTTTTGTGAGCTACAGCTCAGTTCATCGGATGCATACTGTGGAAAGTGTAGAAGATCTTCTTATACACACACAAAGCATGAAAAAAACACCTCCTCCCACCCCACTCTCCTGCTGGTAATAGCTTATCTAAAGTGATCACTCTCCTTACAATGCTGATATGTATGATGAATGTATGATAATTAAGGTGGGCCATTTCCAGCACAAATTTTCTTTGTTAGGCCTGTCCTGTAGTAGGTGACTTCTGGGAACTCTTCTGGCTCTATCAATCTGTTTCTTCACTTCCGCAGGTGGGTATTGTAGTTGTAAGAATGCTTGATGGAGATCTTGTAGGTCTGTCTCTGTCTGAGGGGTTGGAGCAAATGTCACGGCTAACCTGGTGGCTGAACTTTATGACTTTGTCTTTACCCATAACTATTTTACATTTGGGGACAATGTATACCTTCAGATCAGCGGCACTGCTATGGGTACCTGCAAGACCCCACAGTATGCCAACATTTTTATGGCTGATTTAGAACAATGCTTCCTCAGCTGTCATCCCCTAACGCCCCTACTCTACTTGCGCTATATTGATGACATCATCATCTGGACCCATGGAAAAGAAGCCCTTGAGGAATTCCACCATGATTTCAACAATTTCCATCCAACCATCAACCTCAGCCTGATCCAGTCCACACAAGAGATCCACTTCCTGGACACTACAGTAATAATTAACGATGGTCATATAAACACCACCCTATACTGGAAACCTACTGACCGCTATTCCTACCTACATGCCTCCAGCTTTCACCCTGACCACACCACACAATCCATCGTCTACAGCCAAGTTCTGCGATACAACCGCATTTGCTCCAACCCCTCAGACAGAGACAGACACCTACAAGATCTCTATCAAGCATTCTTACAACTACAATACCCAAATGCGGAAGTGAAGAAACAGATTGATAGAGCCAGAAGAGTTCCCAGAAGTCACCTACTACAGGACAGGCCTAACAAAGAAAATGACAGAACGCCACTAGCAGTCACTTTCAGCCCCCAACTAAAACCCCTCCAACGCATTATTAAGGATCTACAACCTATCCTAAAGGATGACCCAACACTCTCACAAATCTTGGGAGACAGGCCAGTCCTTGCCTACAGACAGCCCCCCAACCTGAAGTAAATACTCACCAGCAACCACATACCACACAACAGAACCACTAACCCAGGAACCTATCCTTGCAATAAAGCCCGTTGTCAACTGTGCCCACATATCTATTCAGGGGACACCATCACAGGGCCTAATAACATCAGCCACACTATCAGAGGCTCGTTCACCTGCACATCCACCAATGTGATATATGCCATCATGTGCCAGCAATGCCCCTCTGCCATGTACATTGGTCAAACTGGACAGTCTCTACGTAAAAGAGTAAAATGGACACAAATCAGATGTCAAGAATTATAACATTCATAAACCAGTCGGAGAACACTTCAGTCTCTCTGGTCACGCGATTACAGACATGAAAGTCGCTATTTTCCAACAAAAAAACTTCAAATCCAGACTCCAGCGAGAAACTGCTGAATTGGAATTCATTTGCAAATTGGATACAATTAACTTAGGCTTGAATAGAGACTGGGAGTGGCTTAGTCATTATGCAAGGTAGCCTATTTCCCCTTGTTTTTTCCTACCCCCCCCAGACGTTCTTGTTAAACCCTGGATTTGTGCTGGAAATGGCCCACCTTGATTATCATACACATTGTAAGGAGAGTGGTCACTTTAGATAAGCTATTACCAGCAGGATAGCTAGATAAGCTATTTCCAGTTAACGGTGTCCCTCTTTTTAGCTCCACCATGGAGATTTTTTGCAAGGCTTCACCATTCTCAATCAAACTGCTCTGTCAGAAATCCAAGCAAAGCTAACAAACCATAAGGACCCCGTCCTTTCCAAAATTCTTCCAACCCATGTATTGCCTTGCCCACCCCCTTCTCTTTCACCCCACCACAGTCACGTAAATATGCCAAGACCAAATTTTAAACAAATCCAGACTTACAAAAAGCTGTTTTAGAATCAAAACTGCAACAAAATCATGAGCAAGATGTTTCAGAAGTGAAAACCACCTCAACTTCTGACTGTCTTGCCTCCCAAATGCCTCATCCAAGTTTTTTTTTTTTTTTTTTTTTAGAAAGACAGCATAAAGCAGAAGTCTGACATTTCAGGCAGCTTAGTTAGGTTTTGCCAGACTACAGGGCATGTCAAAACCGAGCCTGTAACAGCAAGTTAGTTTCAAACTTATAAAATAGTGTTGTCTATTTATATTTAGCAACAACAAAATGGTAATAGAATTTCTCTGGTTTGAAAGCAAACATCTTTAGTCTTGTCCGGGAGTTCCCAAACATTTTACTAGGATGACTCATCAACTGCATTTTGTCTTTTCATGACCCACCATTACGTATAGCACTCACAATGCAGGCACCACAACCCTAATCCCAACCTGGTGCAGAGGTAAGGGGGAACTGGAGACCAAGCCTGCCACATACTCATCTCGAAAGAGTAGCAGCAGCTCCTGTCCATGACAGAAGAGTAGCTGGGCCAAACCTGACTGAGTGATACTGCAACCTGGTGCATGGGTTTGCAGAACCCCTAAGGTTTGGCCTGGCCATTCCTGTAATGGACAGAGGGGTGGTCAGAGTAATCCTAAGTGGCACTGAGGTCCCAACAACCATGCACCAGGTCACAACGCCCAGCCCTGAGGGATGGAAGCCACCACAGTGGGGTCAGAGAGAGAGATAGGCTTGCTCTCCAACACCCTCCTGCCCCACAAGCTCCTCTCAAGGCCTCAAGAAATTTAGGTTTGCCTAAGCCAGGGCTCAGTGATGAGTTAAATAGCGCGGGATGTGGCAACCCACCTAGAACCTTCCTGTGACTCACTGGTGGATTGGAACTAATCCTCCCCCCGGTCTATTTAACATAAAAGAACAAAAAAATATCCATAATTTTTTAATATTCGCTTAGCATCAAGGTACTTCACTGACAAAAAAAGATGGCTAAGAGGTTCCCTCCACCCTGAAGAGTTTAGAATCAAAATTGATAAAAATGTAAAGGATGCAGAAAAGCAATATTTTGCACATCTCATCGATTTAAGGGTGGGTTGTTTTTTTTTTAAATCAACCATTTAGACAACATTGATTTGAAAGTTTAAATAAGTAAGAGTAACCAGGTCAGCCAACTTATTTTGATGCCATTTGAACATAATTTAGCATTAATTATATTGTGGACAAATTCAGATTTTAAAAAAACACACAGATTGTAAACCAACTTACCTCTGGCCAATTTGACATTTCAGAGATGATAAAATTTAGTTCTTCTATGGCTGTTTTAAACTCTTGGAGGCCAGCATATGATTCAGCTCTGTAAACTCTTAACATCAAGTCACTGGGATCTGAAAACAAGACATTTTTAGTTAAATACATATACACGTTTTGACTTAATTAAAAAAGTTACACATACCTATAAGATGACAAAACCCACAAGCATACGAGATTTTTTTTAAAAAAATGCAATGCTTCCCTAAATTGAACGTACTTAAAAACAATGTTTGCATCAAATGATTTGCAAAATATTTGGTACCTCCCTTAAATCTTAAGGATAGCAAATTCTAATGTACTTACACAATCTTAGATTAAAAAAAGTAGATAAAACTACTTATTAGTTACAAAAATGAACAAAAAGGTAACATTTGAAACCTACTTAAGATGCCCAAACAAATAAATTTTCTAATATACTTAACGTGGACAGTCTAAGTATCTGCAAGTTAGTTTTGCATTCACATGTACATTACATTTTGTTTAGACTTTTTTTTAATTTCTCACCTCTGCACTGAGAAAAGTAAAATCATTTTAATTCAAAGCACTTACGCCTCTTAGAAGAAGTCTAATTTACTTTCACCTTTTCTGCTGTAACAAGTAAGTTAACATTTCACTCTGCCTAGGTCAGGAAGTTAGACTGATCAATTTTACTGTAATTCTCAAGCACTACTGTGTGTCAGGATTCAAAGCGTTATAGAGAAACAGTCTCAAGGAATAGGAGACTATAAAAAAAACACAATCATTGGTAGGGGCTTGGCAACAGGTATAGTACCTGAAATTACTTAACTTTTTGTTTTTTATTGACTAGATTCTGAATCGACAATGTCCCTTAAATAAAAATATATTTTGAATTTTAAATGTCAGAACATTTCTATTAATATTATGGTTTTGCCAGTCCTCTTGTTTGCCTGACTTTTTAAAGAAGATGATAAACTGAAGCCTAACCCGAATCAATAGTGTTCTTTTAACACACTGTACACACCAATTCCCTTTCCAAAAAAGGATAGGATAGTTGTTTTGAGTGGAGTTGTACAAAATGATGGGCCAAGATTTAAAGGGTCTTAATCAGCCCTTTAAGGCCTCTACTTGGCAAAATATGTACATTAGCTTTACACATGCGAGTAATCCAGTTTACTTTAGTGGACCTTCTCCCATTGTAAAGTTACTTGTGTGCAAAAGTGTTTTCAAAATCAGGGCCTAAATTTGCATGTGCAATTTTGTAAGCATAATCTAAATGCTACGTTACATTATATGCAGTGCTGCTGTAGCAGTGTTGGGCCCCAGATATTAGAGAGACAAGGTGGGTGATGTATGTATTTTATTGGTCCAATTTCTATTGGTGAGAGCGACATGCTTTCAGGCTTATGCAGAGATCTTCAGATTTGGGAAACATACCCAGAGTGTCACAGCTAAATACAAAGTGGCTAAATACAAAGAGGAACAGATTGTTTAGCATAAGTAGTTACATATTTCAAGGGACCATTTGAGCTGAAGTGACCCATTAACATGTTATCAGCCACTAACTACCCAATATGCATATAGCAGGCATAAATCCTATTTGCAAATGGGAGTGACTGTACTTGCCAAAACTGCAAGGTGTTTTTAAGTGTTTGTTGCAGCACTGCAATGCTTAAAGAAATACTGTTGGGTCAGTTTTGGCCCCAACTTTAGGTTAAGCCTATGCTTTTATAAAAACTAAAAATATATCCACGCAACATCTAGATTGCAAACATCAAACCTATTCTATTACAAATTACGGAAGTGAGACTACAACTAGCCAGTTTAACTGTTCAAACAAAGATACCAAAAAAATAAATAAGGCAGCATAAACTGTAAAAAATACATTTGTATGCGAAAACTTTCAGTTTCACCAAATTAAAGTGTTATTCAGGAGGAAATCAAGTAAGTGTTTATTTTCATAATTTATTATGGTATTTCAGATATGCTAAAAGAAAGATATGAAATTCAAATCATACTATTTATGATTACAGTATAAATTTACTAAATGGTGGAGCTGCACCTATATCAGTTATATGGGAGGTAGGAGGTACATGCTAACCTAAAAGACTCAAGATGCCTGCATTCTGATTTTAACCTGACAGCATCCCTTTAATGACTTCTACTTAACTTCATTTCAACTTAATCGGCATAAGAACTACGCATCCCCACATTTGTGAAGAGTTAGGGGGCAAACTTCCATGTTTATAATTAATTCACGTTCCCAAATAATAGGAGAAAGTTATTAAAAGCAGTTGTCTGAATAAAGGTTTGTTCTTTTACAACTCATCTTCTCTTTTAACCTGATTAAAGCGGAGTTTATGGCATTAAGTTCAATTTCAGGGCAACAGATTTATGTCAATCAGATTTTGGACTGTATATCTGGGTAAAGTAGAACTAAGATGGGCTGACAAGGAGAAAAGCTTCTTTAAAACACATCTGAACCAAGGGAATTATTTTTAAAAAGAGTAAGCTAATATTGTTTCCCCTCTCTCTCAAACTCTGAGCCTTTTGTGAGAATTCCTCTGTGTTACAGGAGGAAAAGAAAAACTTGTCAAGCCAATAGCTCAGAATATATACTAACAGAATCATGTATCTGCCTTAGTTACATTACAGCAAATGTTTTGTAAGAACACACTCACAGATCAATGAATTTAAAGGTCCCTAAGTATGTATGACATCTATTATAGATTTATACAGTTCTCTTGTACACCTCTGAAACATTAGAACTACCACACTGAGTAACAACTTTATTGTACACTTAGTCAGTACTTGGAATGCTGAGTTTTTAGGGCTACACAACAGGAAAAGACAAACAATGTACGGAGGATCGTGGACTGAGTAAATCTCTAAATCTGTAATCTAATATTTGCATGAATAATCTGCATAAGAAAACTGGATAAATATTAAGATTGAAAGCTATATTTTTAGGTTTTACCTGCCATTTGTTAAACCCAAACCTAAATGTAAACTTGGTACAACAATGTAATGAAAAAACTCTGCATTCATACACACCTCAAGTATTATGACAGTCAGAACCATTAGCAAGGCGCACGGGGGGGGGGGGGGAGAAGAGATCCCTTGGATTCTTAATGTCTAACCAGAAAAATCTATTTCCTCCTTCTTCTTCCTCCTCAAAATTCCTAAACTATAAAGTGGTGTGTGTCTTCCATATAAAATGTTTATAATCACAGAGACCCATTTACAAACCAAAAGCCATTTAGATTTTACTTCGTTTGTTTGATTCCCTTCTGTGTGTGTGCCACAATGCTAAATTCTAGATCATTAAAATAAAATACTTAATTCTTAAGAAGTTCCTAGTTTAAAAATAAATCACTCAACAGTTCACACTTCTTTGGCTCCATTGACACAAGATGCTACAACTGTGCTAAAAAATAATTCAGGACACTGCTACAATCAAAATAGTTCACAGTCACACATATTGTGCTACCAAGAGATGACTGAAATATTCTGTATTCTGTTTAAGATTTGATTTTGACAACAGTTTATGAAATTGCATCTAACATTTCTCCCTAGTATGTATCAGAAAAGAGACTTGTGTCAAATGAATCTGTTTAGCTTGATATCTGAACTTCTCCCCCCCTGCAGCTGGCAATTCCATAAATGCAGCACCCAAGTATTAAAAGTCAAGTGTTAAAAAGGTATCATTTCTAAATGTACCAGACTAAGTTTCTGATCAAACTCAGTGAAAATAAGACACCAGCACTTAACCAAATTCAGTCTTCCAAACTGGAACTAAGGCATCATAATTGGGAACCTGGCATTGTTTCTGTCTAGGTGTTTATATCTTTCTCATCACTATGGTGTCAAAATGCTTGGGTGAACTACACTAACCTCACTGATACAGTGACCACGTATGAGTCTGTACAGAATCAAGAATGCTGCCAGTGCTCAATAAATAATAATCCAAGCACACCCTTTCACCTCCCCCCTTGACCTCTCTAGCAACAGTGTATTATAAAACTCCTACCACACCCATCTGTGATGTCACTAGCATTACATAACCTGTCCCCCTCCATGCCCCCTCTGCTTATGCAACTAGGCCTGGCCTGCTGGGAATTGTCTCAGTGACACACTTGAGAGGCTGGGAAAACAGATCTCTCTTTGGAAACAAGGCAAATACAACAGGCATGGTTCTAGGAGACCGTATCACCGTCCAACAAGGTCTATCTCGGAGACACGGCAAAAGCTGTCCTGGGAAAAGGTTTGCAGTAGAGAGGCAGAGTGCCCTACTCCACAAATACCCCTCACGTGTACCTGCTCACCAGCCAGCCCTCATGCAGCCCCACAATACAGTCTCTCGCAGCTCATTCCCGTAGTAAGTTAGTGACATTAGGAAAGTCAACTCTTGGAGCTCTAGCAAACTTCAGACTTATTTCAAATGGCTGCCTATCCCTGCCAGCTTCCCTTCATGATTTCGGAAGCTTATTTCATTCCCGGCTTCCACTCGCACCCGACTGAGCGCTGAGGGGAGGAGACGGGCACAGTGGAGATGAAGGGACCGGAGATTGACGAGAACACTCCGCGCCCTGCGGCACACCCGGGAGCCAAGTCTCTGCCCCTCGCGCCAACGGTCACTAAACCGAAGCAGGTTCCCTTCCCGTCGGGTGCAGACGGGGGGCCCGTCCCAGGGCCCAGCGCGCAAGCCGAGCTCGGCCTCCCCCGCTGCCCATTACCTGCTCGCAAGGCCTGGCTGGCGGCGCTCAGACTCTCTCGGAAGCGCCCCTGGCTCAGCAGCTCCCTCAGCCGGTTGCCGGTCCTCGCCCTCTCACACTCGGCTGGGAACCACTTCTCCGCCAACTGGCTGAGGATGACGCTGGTCCGGAGCTGGGCGGCGGGGCCGCCCCCGGCCAGCGGCAGCAGCAGGTCCCGGCACAGGCGGCAGCGGGAGCGCAGCTCCCCCCGGAGGCAGCGGCGGCAGTAACTGTGCCCGCACCGAGCGGTCACCGGCTCGCCCAAGAAGCCCCAGCAGCCGCAGCAGGTCAGGGGCCCTGCGACCGCGCCGCCTCCCTCCTCCCGGGCCCCCTGGTCCCGGCTCCAGTCCAGCCCCTGTCGGAGGCGGTAGTTCAGTACCAGACAGTCCACAAGGGTCTCGAGACGGCGGGGTCCCGCAGGCGGCCCGAGGCGCAGTGCCGCCGAGTAAGTCTCCAGCGCTTCCTTCAGGTGGTTCCCCAGGGCCAGCAGCTCCCCGCGCCGCAGCAGCCGCTCCTGCTCCCCTTCGGGCTCCCTGCGGGGCCAGCCGCTGCCCCCTGGCTCCGGGGACCCCTCCGAGCTCACACCCACCGACGACGACGCCATCCTGCTGCGAGCTCCCGCCCGGATCCCAGAGGGGGGTGTGGCGCTCCGCGCGGCGCGGCTGTAGCCTGGCTCGGCTGTGCGCACGGCTCTGAGGCACTCGCGACGGGGGGAGCAGACACTTAAGCGGGTGACGGGCGCAGCACACGCGCGCGCTCTACAGCAGAAGCTTCGCAGCGCGGTCGTTAGACCATAACCCCCTTTCAAACATCGCCGCAGACCCGCCGCTGGCTTACATAAAAAGCTGCGTCACCTGACCACAGCAGGCTCTCCCCATAGGCTGAGAGGCACGGCGTGGGGGAGGGGGCGGAGGAGATTACAAAACACAGCTCGACGCTCCCCGCGTGCCGTAGCTCAGCGAGGAGGGGGCGGGGCTTAGAGGCGCGGGGGAGCCGTGGGAGGAGCCCGACGGGGTGGTGGGCAGGGCCTAGGGGAATGGGCGGAGACTCGATGGTTGTGAGGCGTTGGCAGTCAGGGAGCTTGTTCAGGTCAGCATGGCTGGAGCGGCAAGGAGGGGAGCTGGCCGGGACCCAGTGCGCCAGAGGCTCCAGCAGACAGGCAAGCAGAGAAGAAACAGCCCAGTGATGTTAAAAATGCTGGAGCCTCTGTGCTCTACACGGCCCCCCGTTATGAAAGAACCTGCCCCCCCGCAGCCAAACACACATGTGCACTTTTTTCAAATAGCTTTTAAACAGTGCCTGTGTCTGACTCGGGCTTTCATGAGATCAAGACGCTTCTTTGAACCTGCGCTGAGTGATCAGCAGGTACCAAACTGCCCCTGGGCAGTGCTCAGTGGGTCACTGTAACCTACAGCATTTCAGCTGGGGTTGAAGGCTACTTATTATTTATGTTACTGTAAAACCTAGGAGCCCCTCTCATGAACCAGAATCCTGCTCTGCTAGGCCCTATCCTGTTAGGAGCTGGGTGAAATTAGGGGGTGAGTTAAAACCCCATTGAGATTGAAGGGTCACACTTATCAATGAACATAACTCTAAGCATAAGCCCCCACCTCAGATGAAAGGTGGGTGCAGGAGATTTTGGTGGAGTAGCTCTTTGGGTAGGTGGTGGGGAGAACAGGGGGGAAGGGAGGACAGGTAAGAACAGAGAGAGAAGCAGGAAAGCCAAGCAATAGGCTATGATCCTAGAAAAAGCTGGAGTGAGTGTGTTTGGGTCTGTTAGCTGAAGAGGCTTGGGGCTGTAAGCTAAATAATTGCTCCATTTATGCCTCCTGCATTGGGGAAAGCAATTCTACATTCTTTATAAATAAACCCAGTTGCAACAAAAAATACTTGACTCCTTCAAGGTCTACTTCTAAATTAAGCATCCTCAGGCTTCTCAACTTTGAGTTGCTGCTCAGGTCAAAGAGGGATAACAACTGTGTTAGCAGTGGGATTTAGTTTCCAAGGAGAGAGACTGTGAGCTGTTAAGCAAGATAGAAACAAATAATGGAGGTGCTTGCAGGAATCAAAAATGGGCAGCAGGATGTAAAACAATACTTAACACAGGAGCTGGACCCTTCACAAAAGAATTTGGTGTAAGACCTGGAAGTTTCACAAATGTAACTAAAGTAGCATCTGGAGGATTCCCAGTTCAAATAATGCAAAAGCCTCATATCTTCAAGGGGTAAAATGCTCTCTGGGAGACTTATTGGCTCAATTCAACTAAAATGAATGGGTGGTAAGTGGGACAGAAAGGAATGTTTCTAGCAGCCAATTTACAGGTCCCAGCTCTTTCTGTCCTGCAGAACTTACCCCCAGAAAAGAGACTGCTTATCCAGACCTGATACAGGCCCTTAGCATGCAGTTTTGAGCTAGCCTGGCAGAGCTAAGAGCTAGAAGGAGAGGCATTTGGCAATGGACCAGTTTATAGATACACAGCTGGAGTTACAGATCAAGAGCAGCAAAAGGAGACCCAAGACTGTGGAATTTGCCACAAAACTTGAATCTTTCCTTGCAGTAGTTCACCAGAAGAGGAAGCAACTACTATTGAGGAAGATGGAAACTGATCAGCATTATCCCTGGAAGTACAGTTCTGTGTCTAATATGTATGATAAAGAGTGGATTCTAATCTGGTTCATGAGCTTACTGAACAATTCAAACAGATACATTTGGTTTGTTTAAAAAAAAAGGGGGGGGGGGATTGCTCTTTTGTATTATTGCCAAACAGTTCAGTTAAATGTCGATAGTATGACAAGAGTAGCCACAAAGAAGGATTGCTAAAAATTGAAGGCAGACCAAGACAGTTGAAGGTGTCTAGCAAAAGCTTCTGTCCCAGTTCAGGAAAATGGGGAACACCACACAGAAGAGGCAAAGCTTGATGGAGGTGTAAGTATGAGACCCGATGTTTTTGTTTAGATCTGGGCAGTTAAATAATAATCGGAGTTTGGCTATTGATTGTAGAATAGAATCTGTGATGTGTATGGGAATAGTTGAAACAGGCTCAAACGTAAGTTATTAGATCAGACATGTTAAAAAGGCTAAGGAATAGGGGATCCAAAACTGAACTGCCTAATTAGTCTCAAGTGTAGACTGACTGGGGCAAGGGTACCTATTCAAAAACTGGGAAAATTGGGTTTGAAGATTGGACCTCTAAAATTTGAGCAAGAAGTTTGTGTGACTGAAAGAATGAATGAGCTAATAATTTGCTTGGATTTCCCTACGACTAGTAACTGTGTAATCAATTCCAGGAAAAGTGTCATACAAATTTAGTCTGTGAAAATTCCTTTAAAAATACGGCTGTGACATTCCCCAAGGTTCAATCAGGAGTGTTGAACAGCTGTGCCCCCTTAATTCTCTAGCCTGAGATACCTCTTACGCTGCTTTGCTGCTGAACAGCCACCTCTCCAGGTTCTGCTTTCACACAGCCTCAGGCATGTAACTTGCTCCCAGCCACACAATATTGAGTACTACTAGCTAGCCACTCATAAATTACTTATAGGGTGACACCAACATGTTCTTAGTCCTAGCCTTGACCCCAGAAATGTGTATATTATATTGCACAGTTCCCCCCCCCCCCCGACAGTATAAGCTCATAGTCTGTCATTTAAACAAAAGAAAACAATAATGCACCAACTTTGTTATCCCAATTGGAGTTTCCCCATACTTTAATCTAAATACACACTGATTAAGATAAAACAATAAAATAAAAGTTTATTAACTACAGAAAGGTAGATTTTAAGTGACTACAAGTGATAATGCATAAAAGTCAAGATTGGTTACAAAACAAAATAAAAAGATAACACAAGATAATTGCTAAACTTTAACAAGCTAATAGGATTTAAAGCAAGTGTCTTTCTCTCACCACAAGTTGTAATAGTTCACAAACTGGATTTCCTTTCAGCTAGGGACCTCTCCCCCAGTTCAGAGTCTTTCAAGTGTTTGTTGATGTCATGAGCAGAGATATGGGAGAAGGAGAGGTGTTGTGGAGGCCACTGTTTTGCATACTTACACCCCTATATGAGGATTACCCCTATAATTGGCCCATGGAGCAGCGAACAGCGGCCACTGGGAACCGCAATCGGCTGAACCTGCGGATGCAGCAGGTAAACAAACCGGTCTGGCCCACCAGGGGCTTTCCCTGCACAAGCAGTGGAACAAGTTTGGGAACCACTGGACTAGTCACATTGGGAGGCTAATGGAGAGGGTATTATGTGGCATTCACCCCTCAGCCTGTCTATTACCCCTAGGTGATTGATATCCTGGTGCATGGTAAAACATTTAAGCAGGAACTAAAACTTTTATAAGTGGTCTGTGATAAACTGAAGGTGGCCAATTTGAAACTGAACCCAAAGAAATGTGAATTGTTTTTTGGGGTTTTTTTTGAAAACAGATAGTCTACCTTTAAGAAACACAATTAGTGAGAAGGGAGTTTTCACTGAGAACAAGAAAACTGAGGCTGTGCAGAGCTGACCAACTCCCCAGATGTGCAGAGTTTTACAGGGCTCTACTTCTATTATAGAAGGTTCATTGCTGGGTTTGCCAATACTGCAAAACAATTGCATCGGTTGGGTGAGAAAGCAAAACCATTTTAGTGGTCAGCAAATTACTCCTGGGGAATTCTCCACCCTGCTGGGGGTGCAGAATTCATACCTTCCACAGATTTCTAGTGGCTCATAGGTGCTATGATATGAATGATTAATAAAATAATAAAAAAATCTAATTCTAGTATATGGGTAGATGATTGCAACACCTTTGGGGAAAATAGCAAATTCTAGCAAATTTAAACATACTGTACATATCAGTAGAAATTTCAAGCATTCCTATTATATTTTTGAACATATGCATAATGCTCACATTTCCTTCTATAAGATATGCACTATGTATTAAATGACAGTCCATAATAATAAGGAACTTGCTTTATGGGAGACAGGATATAGAAATATTAAATAGAAACTTGTTTTACTGAAAGTTTTCAGTGACTTATGTAAAGTAAATTGTTATCTTGTGAGGCAGTGTGTTGCATAATGCAATCAAGGGCATTTAATGTCAACTAGCACAGATGACTGTTTTTGATTCTAATTCCCTCATATAAGCATATTTACATCCTAAATATAATAACTCATACAAATCTATAGAGAAGTAAGCTTAAGAGTGTTATGCAAAGAGGTGAAAGCAAGGAAGTACTGCAATATGTACAGATATGTTACTCTAACACACTGATGAGAGCTAAGCACAAGGGATGAATTCAGAAGTAAACTGAGTGTCAGTCTTAACTTCATGCTGTTTTGCTTTTGTTTTTTTGTGTCATACCTTAAACTTTATTTTGCTTCCTTTTGGGACAGTAGTTTTTAATGACTCATTCAGGTGAAGTAGAGCACATAAATATATATATGATGGAATTTTAAAGTATTTCTTTTGGCCTGATAAATTGCAGTAGTCACTTTGGAGCCAGTGTGAACTATTGTATAAATATGTATAACAAAGTGTTCAAAATACGCATTGTTGACTCAGTAAGTTGTAATGGGTTGGTTGAGCTTTATACAGTTGATTTTTGTAATAAATATTTTAAATACTGTAATTTCCATCAAGAAGATTGGGACACTCTCAAGGATTTCAGTTAAATAACATTTTGGGTATCATGGGGCAGACTGGCTTTTTTAGCCCTAAAATGGAACCTTGTATAAAAAATTTCTGAGCTTGCTCAAACTTGGTGGATTTGAATTTGCCATGCTAAAGTAAAATCTCATGTAGACATTTGAATCAGGATATTGTGATGTTGCATTGTGAGGTAAATGTCACCATATCCTG